AACAAATAAAATGCCTGGTTGTCATACTTTGTCATCTCTTATTTCTCCATTAACACAGAAAAAGAAAAGTTGCTATGTTTTCCACTTCTGAAACTGCAGTGGTAACTTTTCTTGTGTGTAGTAAATAAACAGGTATTCAAACCACTAAATTCCCTCTAATGGTTTTCTCTCTGTCAATACTGTTTCAATACACTTGTGCGTATTTGTAAACTCTTAGAGGCAGTAGTAGTCCTTTTACAGCTGTTTGGATTGCATTTGGAAATGAACAGATTAAAGAGATGTTTGCATTAAATCTAAACTTTAGACAAAAAGTAATATTGAACCTCTTTTCTGAGTGAGGAGGATATCTTTTGGCTGCTTAAGACAAGAAACTGAGCAGGAACAGTGTAATAATCTGTCACTCATTCCTACGCTGTGTGAGGAGAAAGATAAGCTGTGAAGGTTGTTTCCTTTTTTGGTAACAGGTCCATCCAGGCAAGACAGACGGCAAAGCCAGCAGAAGCCAAACAGCTTTGCTATGCCAGCAGTGTGGTATGGAGGATGGTACTTTATGAACCCCTGATTCCCCACCTGCTGGGTTGGGAAAGGGTCTGGCAGCCCACCAAAGTCAACACACTGCAGTATTTAATGAGTTTTACCTGTAACCAGGTTTGTGATGCTATTCTGCCCAGATTTTCTAAGATGTGGGTGTCAAAATCCTGTCTAAGTGGCAGTACGCTATCTGGTTCAGATACCTGCAGCCTGGTAAAGTAGGGGGTGGTGAAGAAGATCTTGGGGGTGGATGGCACATATCAGCTATGGTGATGTGCTCAGTGCTGCTTGGCTTGGAGAAAGCTTGCACTTTGCTTCTGGGAACCATTGCTCAGAACCTTTGGGCCCATTGCTGGGAACCTTTGGGCCAAAGGGCAAGTGGGAGTTGCAGAAATGCTGCTTAACTTGGAATAAGTCCAGCACAAAATCCAGGTAGGATGGCTGTTACATGGCCAGGATTACTGATGCTTACCTGTTTTACCAAGGGATAGACTACCTGGGCCTCTATAGCTCTCTTGCACCTCTTTCTTCAGGCTCAGTCACAAATTCATCTCTACTTTCAAAAATCCTATCAACTGAGGGAATCCTTGTAAGGAGCCCCAGCATCCAGTAGTGCAGGGAGAAAACATCTTGGAGACGAGTGAGACTTATCAGGGTCAGAAGAAGGTGAGCAGGGCCAGTATGAACCAAGCAATGACACAGTTTATAAGTCAGCTGTAAATTCTTTTACCAGGTTTTCTGCTGTAAACACTTGGAGGAGTCTGGTATCAGGTGAAACTGTGTCCAAGATGTTTAACAAAGGGAAATGAGAAGGTGCTCATTTCCTAAAGTATCCCACACAGAGAGAAAATTCTGCAGTTTAATACCAGATAAGAACAGATAGTTCAAATTTGCAATCAGTGAAACATAATGATTTCTAATATGCAACTCTGCTTTTCTAGGAATACTATTTATAAAGTACAAAACTGTAAAGCTTTTTTCCTATCAGCAGCCTTATTAAAAATACCATTTTATACTGACAGCTTTCTGTAATCATTACAAAGATCAGAAGATGTTTTTAATAGAAGCTTTCCTTTACCAAGCAGCCTTTGCTTTGTATCAGCTGTCAGAGAATGACTAAAACCCTTTTGTAACACAGACGTGCCCAATTTTAAACAAACCCACAGCTCAGCAATGCAAGACAACACACTTAGTGTTTCTGAGGAAAGAAATTAGTTTAAACTGGTTTCTTTGTTGCTCCCTAAACCTAACTGCTGTTGACTGAATTTTTTTTTGGGGGGGGCAAGTTTTGGGGGTTTTTTTTGGTTGTTTTTGGTTGTGTTTTTGGGTTTTTGTTAATTAATTCTAAAGCCAACTCTGCTCAGGATCAATTTGGGACCATGTTATATGAGTGCACAAACACACTGATTATTGTGATATTACCAGTTTCTGTTTTGGAGAACTGCTGGCAGTTTAGTGTCTGGTTTTTCTGCAAATGTGTGCTTCCAGAGGGCTTGCTGATCCCTCAAGACAGGCTGCTCTTTAGGTGTGTCACTGAGCTCACACAACTACAGTGAGGTCCAGTGTCATTAAACATCTTGGTACGTGTCTGTGCAGTGTCTGGTGACTGTACCACCAACTGTTATTTAAAAGGAACAAATGGCTTGGGGCTCTTCCTATATTACTGGAAAGCTGGCACCTCTGTCTTTTCTAGCTGTCTCTCTCAGTCTGCATGCAGAACAAGGGTTGATGCACTTCCAGAAATCTGACTTCAGATGCAAAAATAATTCCTCTATTCCATACTACTGCAAACTGACAGGTGAAAACAGATAACACTTCCTAACCAGAAAACTTTGCAGAACAGTTGAAAAAATGTTATCACAGACTCAGGGGAGTTTACTTGCACACATACTGTCCATTTTCAACTTGAATGCAGTTGGGAAATACTCTTGGTTCATTTTCCAAGCCTGATGAGAAGGGAGTGTCGCCCTCTGTCAATGACCAGGTGGAGGGCATGGAGCTGCACTTGGGGATGGATGAGGAGCTGACCCAGAGCTTATAGGTCAGGACTAAAGGGAGGGCCGAGGGGCCGAGGGAAGCTCGTTAATATTCAAGGATCACCTCCTCCAAGATCAGGAGTGATGCATCACAACAAAGAAGTCAGTCAAAAATACCAGGAGACCTGCATGGATGAATAAGGAGTTCCTCAACAAACATAAAAAGGAAGCCTACAGAAGACAGAAGCAAGAATAGGTAGCCTGGGATGAATTCAGAGAAACTGTCTAAGTTGCCAGGGATCAGGTTAAGAAAGCTAAAGCAAGCCCTGATAGAAATAAATCTGGCCAGAGACATTAAGGACTACAAAAAAAAAGCTTCTATAGGTATCTCTGTGATGAAAGGAAGACCAGGGAAAATGTAGGCCCTCTGGAAGGAAACAGGAGATATGTTTACCCAGGACATGGAGAAGGCTGAGGTACTCAATGACTTTTTTTGCCCTGATCTTCACTGGTAAGTGCTCCAGTTGCAGAGGCAGGGACTGGGAAGGAGAGTCTATGTAAAATCATATCTTAGAAAGGGACAAGCTTGGTTAAGGATGGAGTATTTTGTCAAAAATGAAGCACACAACAACATTCTAATTCATGTAAGGAAAACAAACAAGCCTTTGGCAGCTGACTTCAGATGGAATAAGCTTTCTGCTCATTCAAGTAGGTGAGATGTTTTTAGGCAAGGTTCATCCAGCTTTTTGCCAACTGTATGTATAAGGTATACAGTAAATCAGACTCCAGCACACTATTTTCAAGGGGGGAAAATTATGGATAATGTGTAGAAACTAAGGTATATACAGTGTGTTGCTTTTTAAATAAATAACAATCACTCCATCAGCAATTCATATAAGCAGTGTGTCTGTAACAGGGCACTACTGTTTAGCATACCAGAGATGCTCCATAGAAACAGGAACTATTCCAAGACTGCCAGGTCAGCACTTCATCACTAGTACCTATACAGTTCTGGTTTAAAAAAAAAACCCAAACAAAACACAAAAAACATGAAAGAGAAAGACACAATCTTTGAGGAACAAGATACAGTAATTTGATCAGCGTTCAGGCAGTATGTGGGAAGAAGGCAGCAAAAGACAGGGACCTAGCCAGGGATCAGTGCACAGATGGCTCCTTCCAGAAATCCTTGCAATGAAGATGAGCAGTCAGTCTCTTCCTCCTGCTGCCGTGACACTTCTCTGTGCATACCACCAAGAGAGATGCTGCACCTAGGGAAACCTCAAGCAGAGTATGTCAAGTAGGCAGAAGGTCAAGACTTGCAAAGAACCAAAGCTGCTTCCTTATTTTTATATAGTGCCATAAGAGTTTTTGTTATATACAAAAATTTTAAAGAAAAAATAAAAGACGGAATTAAAAAAAAAAAAAAAAAGGACCTTGAGACTGCACCAACTTCTTCTCATGGTTTTGTTATGGTTTAACCCCAGCCAGCAACTAAGCCCCACAGAGCCACTGGTTCACTTCCCCCCAGTGGGCTGAGGGAGAGAATCAGAAGAATAATAGTGAGAAAACTCATGGGTTAAGATAAAGACAGTTTAATAGGTAAAGCAAAAACCACACACAAATCAAAGAATTCCTTTACTACTTCCCATGGGCAGGCAGGTGTTCCACCATCCCCAGGACAGCAGGGCTCTGGCATCTATGACAGTGATTTGGGAAGACAAAGACCATCCCTCTGAATGTCCTCCCCTTCCCTCTTCTTCCTCCAGATTTATATGGTGAGCATGATGCCATACAGTATGGAATGTCCCTGTGGTCAGTGGGGGTCAGCTGTCCCAGCTGTGTCCCCTCCCAATTGCTTGTCCACCCCCAAGCCTCCTTGCTGATGGAGTGGTGTGAGAAGAAGAACAGGCCTTGACTCTGTTCAAGCACTGCTAATAATGAAAGACAAATCCAAAACAGAGCCCCATGCTGCCATGAAGAAAATTATCTGAGACAAAACCAGCACAATTGTACAGAAAACCAGTCTGTGGCACCCACTGAAGGAAAGGTGTGGGGTTTTTCCTTGTCAATTGATCCCTGCTGTGTGTTGCTCCACTAGCTGTGTGGTGGTTGAAGGGCTTTGTAGAGAAGAAGGAAAGAGCATGGAGAAAATCTGACAACTGGAAGTGTACAGCTGTTTTGGCTGTGAAGATGCATGTCCACAGTCATACAGCTTGAATGGATCCATGGTGCTGCTGCAGCTGGAAATCAGACAAGTTCCTTCCTGAGGCGAGTGAGGCACCTGGGACATGAGCTGCTCCAGAGTCACATAAGGAGTCAAGAGAGCTGCTGGGACTGATGATCCTGGATCCCACTCCTTTAACATTGGCTCTAGTGCATGCATGCTCTTAATTTCCTTGAGTAAAGGAGCTAGACAACTGCAGTGCTTGGAAAGGAAAAGCCTCATCATGAAGCAGATGTTGTAACAACACCTTCTGATTAACCTTCAATTTCCTTCGGTTTTCCTGCTTGTTTTAAATTTGTATCTTCTTTTTCTCCAGTTTTCCAACAGCAGTTCAGTAGCCAGCAAAATGGCAGTCAGCTCATTTCCTTGGTCTTAGCTACTGGAACTTAACTGGTAAGCAGGGAAACTCCTCATTCCTCTATCAATGCAACGTGCCAAGTGCAAATTGTTAATTTAAGTGTATATAAAATCACTTCAAAGCATGAAGGAGGTGCAACTCTTTCCATTTTACAGACACAGGAAGAGATTAAGCATTGTGCAGGAGCCTCAGCTTTGATTGTTAGCAGAGTTGATGACAAAATCCAATGCACTGCATCTCAGGTTTTCTGTTGTAATTGTGGTGCCTTTTGGGCTTTCTCTAGAGTAGAAACTTTGAAGTGCATGAGAAGGATGTGCCATATAATGAATTGTAATTAAAATCTATTTTAAATTGCTTGTACGCTTAACACCTGCTCCATTTGTTGAAATTGAGCAGGAGGAAAGCATTCTCAAAGATGAGTGAAAAGCAAGTGAAAGTGGGATGCTACTTTACAGATGCTATTCACAGTGATTTGAAAACTGCCAAAAAAGACTGTGGAGCCCATTTTAAAAGGTGACTGGAGGCTCTCCCACAGGAGGGCACTGAGGAAGCACCTACTGACCATCAGTGGGACTTAGGCTCCTAGCTGTCTTTGGGGTTTTGAAAAATAATTATATTTCGTTAGTGAGTCACTAACAAAGGGTCTCATCCCAGTAGGCTTCAGGATGTGCATTTTCTTTTAGCGAGATTCTAGCATAATGTAGACTCCATTTTTTGGTCCAAGTGTGGCTTTTGATTTGAGCTTTAAAGGAATCTGAAAGAAAAAAGAGCATCTTATGTACAGTTGTATGTGTTTTTTTCTGTGTGTATAACACCCCCATATACAGACAGACACTTTTACTGGGGGACCAGTTCATACCAGGATTACTGCAGAAGCTGTAAAGTACTTGTTCTACAGTCAGCTGTGCTAGCATAATATTAAATAGAATTTACAGCCAGAGGCTGAGGCATTGGTTGCCCAGGTATACTGTAGATCTGAACAGGAAGAAATTAACTCTGTAAACTCCAGAGCTGCTGAGTAAGTGCCAGGTGCAATGTACATAGCAATAGGCATATACTAAAGTGCTGAGATCCTATGAAGTATGTACACCCATTCTCACCCTCTATAAATCAAGATATTTTGACTGTGGTGTTGTTATACAGCTCTCCACTAAGGTAGGGCTGTGTAACCATTTCTTTTGTTGGAAAAATCATATATCTTGAATCATATTTTGATTAAAACATGCAGTCCAGGCCTCTTGTCCCTCCTTATTATGAAAGTGTCTCAAGCAGTTTTCTCAAATGAAGTCACAAAGGCAAATCAGTTTCCCTCTGCCTAAGATATATTGTCAACTCTCTCAAGATGACAACAGTGATCTTTAGCCTCCCTGCATGTACAAACCTCAGTCTCTGGGCAGGTCTTGAATTGAAACTTCTGCAAAATCCTCAGCAGAGTCATTTTTGTCTCCAACAAACCCATTTTCATGCCAATGCAGCCACGAGGTCCTGCCCCAAAGGGCAGATATGCAAAGGGATGTCGTTTCTTCTTGGCCTCCTCTGTAAACCTAAAGAGTGCAGAGATGGAAACCAGTTCAAGGAATGCTTTTTGCTCCTGATTCCATGATTTTCATTTAAATCTCAAAAGATGGTTATTTCAATTGGTCTTAATGGACGGTCAGGGGAACTATTGACAGATTATGTCCTGACATCTTAAGTAAACAGATAATTGACTTACGGCCATCAGCCTTTGTCAGCTGGTGATTTCAGGAGAGGACATGCAGATATGAGTATAACTTCCAACCTATCTTTCACGACTTGCCTTCATTTGAGGACCATGCTCAGAAGAATGATAACTTCAGGTGCAGACAGGCTAGGATGATTAGGGACATGTCCCTCACACCTTTGCACATGTGAGGGAGAAATTACAGCTAAGAGGAAACTAATAGGCTGCAACCTGAACTAAATAGAATTAGCAACAGCATTCCTTGCTGTGCCTTGCAGATGAAGGTCAACAGGAATTGCTCTTTGAAGCTTGTAAGGGGAGATGAAATCTCATGGCATTGGACAGGCCATGGAAGATGGTTATTACAATTCAGTACAGCCCTTCTCTCTGCTCTTGGTCTGAAGAGACCAGGTTCACAATTGGGAAACATTAAAATTGCACATGGTTCTGTCTTTGAGCCATCTCAGTACCTCAGTCCAGCTGGAAAGACTGATTAATGTGTCAATCTGTATGCAGATCTGCATCAATTAGCTAGCTTTAAAATACTTGATCAGCTCATTAGAAATGAGCCTTTTTTTTTTTTTTTTGTTCCATGAGGGAAACAAAATTCCTATTTGAACAGCAGTTCAAAGGGAAAAAAAAAAGTAAAATCTATTTGCCAACATCTGCAAAGATGAATGCCTATTGGATAAAATACGTACAGACAGGAATACAGTGTCTGAGTCAGTACAAGTTATTAGGGCCAATGCATAATCAACATGGTTAGGCTAATACTGGGCTGTATTGAGTCACTACTCAGAGTGGTGCCTTGAAAGAAGTAAACCTTTACAGTGATGGCATTACCCTGGAAATTAACATAATCCTCCCATGTCCTAAGGTATTTGGAACTTTTCTTGTACTACCAAACTACTTTTCCAGTTCTGTGCATGGATACAGGTTCTGCCTTCATGTATGGGGTCATCCCTGAAAATCTCTCATCTCTTTGGATATAGTTTGCAAGAACTTCAGACTGCTAAGGCCCAGAGAACTCATGCAGGGTAGAAAGAGATGAGATGCAATACAGGCTATTTTGAGCTTTGGAAAAAAATAATATTATGTATTCCCACTAATCCCATCTCCATGCTTAGATATCCTAAATAAGATTGAGTTACTACTCCAAAAAGTACTATAGAAGCCTGTAATTCGAGACTGAAGGACCATTAACTTATATACTGTTGCATATCCCATCCAAATAGGTTAATGCAATTCTTGCCTTGCTCACCCCCATATATCACTGTGGTAAATTTAAAGTCTCTCCTGTATTATTCCAAAGGCCAATTTCAAAAATACATATTAGGGGTAAAAAGGCTGTAGACAAATTATTTTAGTTTTTGTTAAGCTCTTATTTTATAATTCTTACTAACATTACCAAATGATACAATCCAAGGAGAATGTTAGTAATTATAAACCATTCCTCAGGAAGTTTCAAAAAGGAATTAATCTCAGATTCATTACAAACAGCACTGTGTGAGTCAAGGGGACTGCAGCCCCCACTGTCCATTTTACTCCATAATGTGCTTTCATACTATCATTGAAGTGGTGAATAAACAATTAAGAAAACATTTGTAGATAAGCATTACTAAAAAAACCCACCCTAGACTTCCAGTTACTGCTAAGATTCCTCTCCAGCAAAATTTCTGGGCTTCTCTAACCCTGAAAATGCTCTTCTTCATGGCCAAAAGAGCCCAACGGAGCATATGCCTAGATTTGTTCCAGAAGGAGCATTAGGCAAACCCACCTACACCATACATGTGTTGTCTTACTGGCAAAGATGGTTCTGGGCTGCCTGCCTCACACCCAGTTGTTTGTGGAGCAGTCACTTTTTTTACTTAGTAAACTTTTCAGTGCAGTGGTAGCTTAAAATGCATCTGCCCACAAAACAGCTTAAAAATATATCTGTCCACAAAACTGAACTGTGCTTCTACACAGCACCACATCAGATGAAACTCTCCCTGCAAGCTCAATTCAGCATCTGCAAGACAGGGCATGGTACAAAACCACAACTTGACAGTGTCCCCCCACCAGCTGAAGAGAATAAATGCTCCATGTGAAAGTATGTATGTCTTGCCAAGAAAGAACCAAGGATCCTAACTTACAGATGGAGAGCAAATTCCCTGTGGCAGATGGGGTAGGTTCCCCACTCACAGAGGACCCACACCATTACAAGATTTCAGGTGAAAAGGGTGCTCTAAACCAGTCAGGAGCTGGATGAGTTTCCCAGGTACATCCATGTCAGTGAATATACTATCTCACTTCAGAATTTCTGCATCCAGAAGAGACATTATTCACAGTATCTGATTTGGAAATGGGTCTGAAAACCCATCTCACATTTCAACCTTGACCAAATCTCACACCCTTTGTGGGATGCGCCACTATCATCGTTTGTCTAATTTGGTAGAATTAATTTTATGGTCTAAATAATTTTATGGTCTAAATTAAACTAAATTCCACTCTTGGTGGAAATACTGCTTTGGATGAATTGTGGGTGACTGTGACTGTGAAAGAGTAGCAGGATCTGGTGTCTCCACTGGACAGGCTGGAGCTCTGTGCACACCCTAACGCATAAACCAGCATTTAACATTGATCGAAACAGGCCCAAATAAGAACTTCAATCTAAGAATGAAAAGCATTAGTCCACATACCTCTCAGGAATGAACTTCTCAGGCTCTGGCCAGAACTCAGGATTATGGTGGAGGTGTCCAACTGCAGTTTCAATGACAGCCCCAGCTGGAATATGCTGCCCCAGCACTACACAGTCTTTAGCTGCTTCCCGAGTGAATCTGCAATATCATGTATCCTATATGATTAATAAAGGTTAAAAACACAGCAGGAGACATCTATAAAAGTCAATCTCTTCAGCTGACCCTACAATTTCCAGAGTAACACTTTCTCAGTAGATAAATACAACTGTTGCTGACTCTAGTGTCTTCTCAGGTGTCCTCTCCATCCAGAAGCCCATAGCTCCAGCCCAGACAGCTAATCTTTGCCCTTTTCAAAGGGAAGAATTTGTGACTATGTACTGTTTTCCAAAGCAATAACTGTTAAACTGCAACTTTACTGTGAATGTTGGATTTAGACTAATTTTTTATGAAAATTGCTAATGAGATGTATCTATCATCTTTAATTAAGCAAGTACAAAGACTATGGTGGTTTGTTTTCAGGAAAAGAAAAAAGGATACCAAATATAGTTTTGAGTTTGTTTATTTGAGAAGCTCCCCCATGTTGGTACCTGAAACTTAGCAAGAGATGTAATATTAGGGCTAGGTGTTCTGCTGCAGCTGCCACTACAAAAATACAACTAATTCATAAGCTTTGGAAAACCTCATTTCACATACATGCATCAAAGACAGCCGTGATGTTAGCAAAAAAACTCTGCAGTTTCCTCCCACCCCCTGGTGACAGGTGACAGAGTAGGACTGTCCTTAGAAACCTCATTGTGACAAGAAGACTGAAAAAAGCTGCCTCCCAAAGCCAAACTTGGGTCTGTAAACCTTACAAAAAATTGTGTGTTGGTGTGCATGTGTGGTGGTAGGTTCTGATCTAGAACATTTGGTGCTTCGGTGGTCACTACAGATCCCAAATCAGCCCAGAGCCAGGTGGGTGCCCTGCTGTCTCAGTCTGGGAGCTATTCCCTGGCACCAGCTGTGAGCGCAGGGCCAAGACAATGTGCAGGAGCTCCCTTTCCTGCTTCCCACACTCTGCTTAAAAAGTTGAATAAAGATTTCAGTTTCAGGGCTGTCAGTCTGGTATCATTACAGAAACACATTCTTTCCTTGCTGTCACCCATCTCTCTTTCTCAGACAATAAATAACAAAGGCTCCAAACCTGCAACAAAACACTGGTATGCTAAAAAAATGCATTGACAAGCTATTCTTTTCATTCTTACATGAATTTGGTGATAGTGGAAACATGAGTTCTGCGGAAGAAAGTTCTCTGGATAGTAAGTTCATTAAAAAAAAGAAAACCAACTCATTTTATAACAAACTTGGCTGCTACTGATTTTTCCCCTAACTCAGCATTGCCATTGTCATAGGCAATTAACATCTTTCAGAGGCACTGGGCTGTCCTATCCATTCCACATCCATCAGAGTAAAAGCCAAGTCAATAAACAGCACTGAAAATGCCAACCAAAATTTCAGAATAACTTTGTTCCATTCTCATTCTGTTTCCCATCTGACAAACATTAATTGTTTCCCAGTGATACAGATAAAACTCAAAGACCCCTGCTGCTTTAACCAGCAAAACAGTTTCCACTTATAACACAGTAGAGCCCCACCACCTCATCCGGAAGCAAATATCTTTGATGTTTACTTTGACGTTTACTCTCTGAACAATCCTGCAGATGTCCTGCAGAAAAAAATCTTGACTTCCAATCTTTGTGAACATATAGAAGAGAATATGATTTAAAGTTTTTCCATTTTAAGGTGCTTGCAATCACAGGTTAAATTTTTCAAAGGCTCTCACAGCAAGCTCAGCTTTGGCTCCTTTCCAGTCACCTGAATTTTTCCTCCAGCTTCACGAGAAGCAGTGCAACGGGCTGATCACTTTGAAAAGTTCCATTCCTTAACATTTGTATTTATGTTTGTGATAAGTCAGAACTTCATCAAACAATCTTCTAACTTCTTTTTCCCTTGTTTTCAATTCATCAATATAGTAGAATTAGTCTTGTGTGAATCAGGACAAAACTTTCAAAAGTTAATGGATATTGCCGTTAGTTTAGCTATGTTAGTATAATGCAGTACTAAGTGAAAATGTGCTGAAGTTAAATACACATGTAAAATACAGCTTTCTGGATGTGCAACCCTCCACAGATCAGGGCCTTAATGACCAACAAGCTAGGGCAGGTCTTTGGTCTGTATCTCTGAAGCCTGATGCACACAGAAGAAGCAGCATCTGGCTTTCTAAGGCCAGGCCTGCTTCAAAATGGCTCCATCCTCTAACCTTGGGGGATGTGGAGAACGGTGAGGAAGCAACCTTGGCCAATCCGCTGTAAAAAAGCGCTTTAGAAATACCAGAATTAGCCAGCTTGCTTTCAATAGGACACATTATATCTTTCAAATGCACAAAGCAGTATTGATGTTGGCACAGAGACTAAGAGACCATAGGTCTTCCAACAACAGATTTCCATTCTATAGAGCTAGGGAGCTATCCTGTGGAATCAGAAGGAAAAAAACTCCAGATACCTGAATGCAGGTGGGTACATGCGCAATGTCTCTGCAATCACCATGTCCAGATAAGAGAGTTCTTGTACATTTTGGTAATCAGGGACCATCTGAAAGGGCAGAAAGAAAGGAACAATTATATTTTCTCATATTTAAGAGCCAAACTCATCTCAGATTAGCTTTTAAATCATCTGTTTTTTACTGGGCATCTTTCCTGCAGAAGAACTCGATGTCTCATCTAAAACAGTAAATGATAAAATTATACAAAAATGTGGGCAGTAATTAAATGTGTGTATAACATTCCTTTCATCATCAAAATGCTTTGGTGCACAGCCTAGATGAAGATATAATAATAAATCAACTTGCTAGGAAGTATTAAAAACAGGGCATTACATAGAGCATTAATAGCTACAACAGAGCTATTGCTTTATACATGCACCAAAATCTGCACAGGACCCTTGCTTCTTCCCAAAGACAAGAGCATGGCTCACACTTTGTTCACAAGAAACAGCAAGTCCTGCAGTCACTCTTGATGTTGGAACAAACCCTTTGCCCCTTCCCAGTTACAGAAATAAAGCAAAGTGCTAGTGCTGTGATGCCTGTGGAGGGGTGAAAGTGGCACTGGAAGAAATGGGTACTCCGATGAGGAACAGCAGGCAGTGGCAAATTGCTCTGCCAAGAAGGGGGATGCTGAGGTACAGCTCAAATCCCACCTGGTAGGACTGCAATAGTGCCTGGGTAGAGAAGCTTGTTTCCTCCTGCGGCCACCCCTTGTTTAATGCTTAACTCTGCATAGTGGTCAATGCCTGAACCTACATTTTCATAAGGGTACAAAGCCGCCCAGCCCTTGACAATGAGTGGTGGGCACTAAAACCTGAATAGGGCTGTAGCTCAGAAGACTTTTCCCCCTGACTGGAAGCAAAGAGACAATGAGAGACACCAAACCACGGGTGCCCACCAGCAGCAGTGACAGAACTCAGCACGTGGATAAACAGGGAATTTCTTCCAATGTAACCTTCCTTGGAAAGAGGATATTTTCCCTGTCTTATTCAGTGCTCTCAGCAGAGGGCAGCCAAAGAACATCGAATAACCTCATCAGGAAAGTGGAGTTTTGTTTTAAATTAGAGCATCTCCTAAAGACTGACACAGAGTAAATTGGAGAAAAGCACAGACGTCAGACTAGACTAAACCTTTTATGAAGATTTGGGGCCCCTGCCGTTCACAAAGGGGACTGGATTCCATCCTTCCTTTATTTACTACAGCACTTTTCATGTATAATGCATATTTTATTGAATTTTCATGCAAAAACATATGGTACATACTGAAAATACTAAGCAGAGAACAACTCCAGATGGTATGCAGAAAAGGCGTACAATAGAACAAGGATACCTTGCTGGATTAGGGTATCCCACTTATTCAGCACTAAGCCACCATGCACCATTTCACATTAGCTGATCTTTTCTAGGAAGGAAATAGATACATTCTATTATCCCCATTTTTTGGCTCAGGAAAGAAAAGCAAAACCAGAGAAAGTAATTTGCACAGGCTGAGCAGAACCAGCACGTTTGCTCCTCTCTTAGAGAAAAAGATGCAACTCAGCTTGTCAATAGATGAAGTATTTTGTCAGTATATGTCAAATATTATCAATATAGGAAGTACAGACTGCCCTGACAGCCTTTTTTACATTGCAGTGGTGCCTGCTAACTCAAACCTTTGGCTTAGGTCAATGGTTATCAGACAAAGGACTAGGAGACTAAAAGCCAAAAATGGCCACAATGTCATGAGAACCACGGCTGAAGGCTGTGTGAGGAACTGTGCTCCAAAAATATCGATGGCTAAAACCAAAGACAGGAGGATGATTTTTATCATCCTTGTTTTGTAGAAAGAGGGCTGAGGGCTGCGTAACTTTGGAGGGTGGGGGGGTGGGAGAATCAATAGTGCAGGTTCAAATTTCAAGCCTTCATGGCAAAACTACCCTTCTCCATGCCCACAAAGATGGTCCACTCCTTGACGCAAATGCATGCTGTGGTGAGTATTCTTTTATTTTTTCTGCTAATTTTACAACTGTCTTTCAGAACCTTCCTCTGTTCTTTTTATACTGCTCTCCTGCATCTCTTTGAATCCTGGCTAAGCATCTGAGTCCTGTCTCTGCAATCCATCCTGATTTCATGGCCAGGCTGGCTGAGGGAAGAGTTCAGGCTCAGAGAAAATGAGTGGTGGAGCCAAGAGCACACCAAGATGTGTTCGATTCTCTGAACCATGCTCTTTCCACTGGGCCTTTCTATCTCTCTCATAATCCCTCTACTTACTTCAGGAGTCAATAATTAAGATAATTATATGGTAACCTGATATAATAAGTAGCCACTAAATCAAACCATACATCAGCAAATAATATAACACTAAATTACTGGAGCTTTGACTTGCTCTTTCAAATAGCTTCTATACCTTCAGGGGATTAGCAGTTCAGAAAACAAAACAAAGGTGTAAAACCAGCTGATTTTCCTTAAAATTTCTTTTGCTTACATAAAAGGAGGTTGGGTCAAATGGCAGCAGAGTGAACTCTGCTATCCTGAGCACAACAGACACATCAGTCATTTCCTACATCTGATGCAACTTAATTATTGGCACTTCCATGCTTTCAGCATCAAAGTAGCTGGACCTAATTTAGTAGTTGTTTGCAAGGTCTGACCTACAGCTGCGTAAAGTACACATCAGCCAAGCATCTCTATTTAGGAAGGACAGTTTGTTGCTTTTTTTTCCGTTTCAAAGAAAATATTTTCCATTTGTTTTTCCACTCCCTCTCTTAAAAATATGCCTTTAGCCAAGCACATTTCAAAGGAACGTAAATATGCTTTTCTCCCTAAATGTCCCTATTTATATCTATCAGCTGCTGGCAGGTTTGCTGGGGTGAGGGTTGGTGTTGTGCAAACATGCCACTTTAACCCCTTTGCAAAAAAAAAAAAACAAAACAAAACCAACAACAAAAAGTATAAATTGCCTTGTACTGAAGATGAGGTATTTTTTTCACTAAGAAAGATTCTTGTCTTTAACAAGTAGAGATGGGGTGAAGGAAAGACATTGCATATAGTAAACCATCCTATATTTTAATTTTGCAGCCACTGCTTTGCACATCAGCTTTTCTTATGCTTTGCACAACCTTGTAGTGTCTTTTCCTGTTGATGTGGAAGTGAATGGCCATGTAACATCTTGAGGTGTTTCTCTGCACGCATGTTTCCCCAGTTTGATTTCCAGAGGTGTGATGGTACACCCTCACCAATCCCAGACCGTTTAATCACTTCTGAGGGCCAGAAAGCATCTAGTTTGGCTGCAAACTCTCCTTTATGACTGACAGAAAATCACAGGCCTTTATTCCTTAGAAAAAAATGGAAAATTAATTCTTCATCCCACAGAGTATCCTGTGGTGAAATACCAGCAGTGATTATAAAATTGCCTATGTGCTACAATGATGACACATGTTTTAATCCCCATATAAATTCCAAGAGAGATAACTACCTTCAGATCCACCTCTGCTTTTCAGTATTGGTTTTAGCATTTTCTAGGCAGGCAAACCTATTTTTTACCACCACCCTCAGTTAACTTTTAATTCCTCAATGAACAGCAAGGAAATACAAGTGCTGACAGGAGAGGTCTGGCCAGTCACTCTGCTGCAGTTTGAGATGTTACTGTTCCCAGTTGCTCGTTCTTCTTTGCTGGCTGTGGTTAGCATCACCACAGCCAAGTCAGCAGAAGGGAACATATGCCTGCACCTCAGTTGCTTCCATACAACGTCCAGAATGAACCAATCTTCAGTGACAGTTGAAGATGAGATACTAACTTTTCCCCAAAGTAGCTGATGAGTGAGGCACAGATCATCCTCCTTTACTGCCTCTGTTTTGGGAATGGTAATTCAAAGTACACATCAGTGAATAAGAGATTTCCACTTATCCTATTGGTCATGGTCTAGTAATGCTCAGCACCCAGAAATGAAAAAAAAAAACCAGAGAAAATTTTGTGTAGCTGACAGTGTGACGTGCACCTGAAATCAATTTGGAAGCAGTGAAGTCTGCAAGACCACATTCCTCATAACAAGTGCTGCTGAGTCATGGCCTGATACTGAACCAGCTGAGGTTTCTGAGAAATTGCAATTCAAATCTGATGCCTCATGGACAGGTGTGGCTGTGACAAAGTCCATGTCAGAGAGATGACATGCAGAGGCAGACCAGGAGTCATCTGTGTAGGTATAGTTACATAGTTCACATGGGCTCTCCCCCAAAATGTAGACTTTGGATAGCAATAGGATAGGAGTCAAAAACAAGCCAGCATCACCCCTGATTTCTCTCACCCACCCCCCTTTCAAATTGCCAAAAGAGATATTCAGACAACAGCCATTCACAAACAGGTCAATAATGTTTCTTGATCAAATGGATCAAAAGCTGCTGATAGATCAAGGAATCAGCCTGGAGTTTTGACCTCTCTTTGGTCACCTCTAGGAGCTACTCATCCCCTAACAGATCTAGAGCTTGTGTGCCTCACTCAGCTTCTGAGAGGGGAAGAAATGCAAGAATAGGAAGTACAGTGTCAAACTAGGGTTGCCCAATGACAACCTTCCAACAACCAGGAAAAGTTAGAGCCAGGACAGCACTCAAAATGTAGATCAATAAAAAAAGGGTTGGGATGGTTTAACAGAAACCTATCTTTTACTTGCTTAAAGAAAGCTTGCCTCATGTTTTACCACTTCTATGACACCATACTGGAATACCTGTAAAGCACCAAATTAAAACCTCCCTACAGTCTCAGGCAGTAAGATAGGGACAAAGTTGATGAAGTAAAATTTCTTAGCTTTATCCTCAGAACTTGAACCAAACACCTAAAAAACGCTTAAGACAGTCCTCATGTAATACTTACTGCAAATTCTTTCTTACTGGAAATCCTTTCTTTCTGTTGTCTGTGGTCCAGCCTGCACCTGCCAATGAGATGTCCCTTTGAGGTATGGCACCAGGCAGAACCAGCCCATGCTGTTGGGGAAACATGACCCCGAAGCTCCTGAGTCCCACTCATTCTGAGAGGCAGCTCATGGCAAAAGTTGCGACCTTAAGATAGAAAAGAGCCT